CACGCGGAACAAACAAATGACTTTGACAGAAGTTTATTTGTCATCATTAATTTATTTCCTATAATAAACTATTTTAACAAAGAAATAATGTTTAGTGAGAACGAAAAATTTGAAGTTATCCGTTTATTTATTATTAATAGAAATTTAAAAAAAAAACCAACTAAAACACAAATGGTCACAGATGCTCAATGTGACCGCCATTATTATTGATGCACTTCGAATAAACCTCATTAATTTTCAGAACTGCATTTAGTATGAAATGGGAATTCAATTCACTTAAATTTTTTGTTCTCACTAAACATTATTTCTTTGTTAAAATAGTTTGCTATAAGAAATAAATTAATGATGATAGGTAAATAAACTTCTGTCAAAGTCATTTGTTTGTTCCGCTTGCCTCGTCCATAGCCACTGCGATCCGCACAAATAGACCACCAGACAAATTTCTCTCCTGTTTTTTCAACAATAGTTTTAAACTGAAATATCTCGAAAAGTTAAGATGTCCTTTAAAAAAAATGTTTTCTTTAATTTAGTGATTTCCATTATTCAATTATTTTTTCTAATTCTGTGTTGTAAAAAACTCATAAAACTTTTGTATTAAAAACCTTTTTGTAATTTCAATAATACCTAAACTCACAATAGGTTGTCAGATTATAGTGATTAATCCTGTACATACAGCTAATTAGAAAATTTCATCGAACGAATAAAAAAATGTCATTACAATTTCTGGAGGTTCTTGTAACATATATGTTCAAATACAACAAGAAAATGTATCAACTAGTTTAATATCAGCATCTACCATTAATTTGAAAAAGTGAAACCACTGCGTATTTACTTTAGTCGAATTAGATCAAGAAACCTGAAAACTTTTACTGCTGCTAGCGCATTTATTACATGAACTATCAATGTAAAACTTTCTGAAAATAAAAGATGAACCCTTTCTTTGTCTTTAAAATCTTGGTCCGATACGTCCAATAGTTAATTAACAATTAAAGCAATAAACAAAAAAAAAGCTATCTTGAGAATCTTATCTTATATCTTTTTTTAGAATTACCGTAAAAATAAGCTCTATTTAATGCAAAAAGAGCGAATTCCCGAGCTGCTTTTGCCTGACCTTGGCACTATTTGTTTATAACGCTGTTTTGCACGACCTACTTTGTTAGTTTTAAAGGGCTACTTAACTTTTTGAATTTTTTCTTTTTCCATACGTTTGTTTGGATCAATTAGAACCTATATCTATGATATTAACTTCTAAAATTTATTACTACTAGGTATTTAAAATAGAGTAAAACATGTATGATAAATATCTTGAATCGAATAAAGTTTTAGAAGGTTACGGATTTTTTCCATTATAGCAGTCAAATGATATTATTAGAAGCCATAACAAGTCCTCTTTGACCCGTCTGTAATCAATAATAATAGTAATTTGTCATTTTGACATTTACTTACTTATATTTTCTATTCAAATTCTAACCATTATTACAGAAAAATTGGAATACAATAAAACTGCAAAAATTTGTACGATAACAGGTTGAGAAACTGTGTTTCAGCACTAGCAGGCACTATTAAATTAAATTGCAAGTTTCCGCAAAGCCTACTAGACCTCAGCTTCATCTGTAATGTCCTTTCGGGTATTTGTTGTCTAACAAACGAAAATAAATCATGGGATAAATGTTATATTTAGTATTTCATGCATTTTCATGTAGTTATATATCGTGTACCCGAGGCGAAAACAATGCGACAAACGATTTTCGTTTCATTAAAGCCAAACGGTCGATTTCCCCTACCGAAATCGGACTCTGAGGCCTTGTTTATAAGTAAATACGTGTTGAAACGGGCTTCTATAAATAAGCGCAAGCTGACAGAGTTGCGTGGCGATTTTGCGTGGATGCAGCGGCCTCCGTAGTAAACAGACAGAAACGACGGCGGCGTTGCCGCTTTTACGGGCTTTCCCCTAGATCTGCCACACATTCTTTACTAAAAGATCTTTGTCGAGGTCCTTACTGCAGTTTTGCCTCGTATTCAAAACTATCACAGGTTCTACGTTTTTTACTATTATACTTATAATAATTAATAATCAATTTTTATTTTTCTTAATTTCTTACTTACTTCTTGATTGGCTTTTCAGTCATTTTTGCACCTAGATAATTGGTTAATTTGTGTGGGCAAGTGCACGACATAACACTATAGTCTCTTGTCAGCGTTATTCGTACATAATATTCATAGTCATTCTCCAGATTTGGCAACCTGGCCGGTGGCGACTATTTCCTGCCTAGTTTTAGGTCTACTGCTATCTCTGGATGTCAACTACTAGCTAGTATCCCAGTCTTGACCTATGAATGGTCCGCAGGTCGTACTAGACTGTATACCGGAATAATCTCAGGCAGTTATTCTTAGACCTAGGAGACCGACACGAGTCAGGCTGCGAAGTTTTATCAGAGAAAGTCTAATTTCATATTATATGAATGTTTTAGTTGGTCGTGGGTCCGAAAATACGCCATTTTTCAAATAAAAAACGACAATCAGAATGCTAGGAGTTCTGTATTTCAATTACCAGTGCCGTAGATATGAGGAGGCCAGATTGTCTCTCTTTTCAAGTGCAATTTCTATGTCTATGACTTTTTCCCAAAGTGAAGAAACTTTTTTATTTGTATCTAAATTTATGACTTATCCTGCACGGAAGAGTTAAAATAACACCGAAATCGTCAGAGTTATAACTAATTTAATTAATTACTTATCTCTATCAAGGGAGGGGCAACGGTCCGAATTTCATAATTAATACAAATAAAATAACAAATAACCAGCCATAATAAACCCCTATACTGAAATTCTAAACTCAGTTCTCAATGTTCTGCACAATTTTTTTCTAGACATTAACTGTAAAAACGGACCGCCCCCCCCCCCAAAAAAAATCCATCTCTGGATACGCCCCTGTTTCTGGCCAAACGGGAATTCAAGGAAATATCGTACTGTGAACATCGACGTTTCGTCAACTGAGACATCTTCAGGATAGTTACGTATTTCTTTGTTACTTTTTTAATGCATACGTATTTCCGACGATTCTGAAGATGTCTCAATAAAGAGACGCAACGTCGACATTCACAAAAATACGTTTTCTTAAATTCTGAAAATTGTATTTCCGTTAGAATAACAACTAACACACGATTATTTTTCAGCTGAGACGCAGCGACGTCCAACAAACCCAGACCACACCGGGACATCTGAATCTTGCGACCTGGAGATCCACCTGCCCCCAGTGAACGCACGCCCCTGATCAGGGCCGCCTCTGAGTCTCTTGGACGGCGGCGTGGAAGCCCCCCAACCCGTTTACTGTGTCGAAACGGGTTCACGGGAGAACGATACATCTTCCCTTTATGAAATAATCGCCCCGGAGCCCAGTGGCGTAGCATAGACGTCAATAATAAATTTGTATATATGGAAAGTTTATTGTAGATTTTTATAGGCTAAGCTAAGGGTATGGTGCGCCACTGGCGCGGTCGACATCCAAGGCTTCGGCTAAGGTTTAACGCTTTACTAATACAGACTTCACACAAAATTCGATTGTTTAATGCTGTAATGGATTATCTAATAAAAACCCTCTGATTAGTTTAATAGGTATAATTATATAAGAAGGTTTAACATTAGTAAAAAGTTATTTTCAATACGAAAGTATTATATTGCATGTTATTTTATATATACGATTTTTGCGTACCTTCTTATACTCTCGTAGTAGTAAGACAAATATACGTAAGCAAGGGGTTAGTCCGTCTTTCTCACACAGGGATCAGTAGCCCACATAACAAGGTGCAGAATTTTAAATAGGTAGCCGTAGGAAAAGTAAAGAGTAGACCTGTAACGCAGCCACACATTTGTTGAATCCGTATCCAACTTCTACAGTGAGTAATCTTAACCGGAGTCTTTGCCTTGGTAATTAAAAACTAAGTAGAAAAGATGAGGCAGCACCTGAACCGCTGGTCAGAAAGCATATGAAGAAGACGAAGAAGAAATACAAGAGGAAGACAAATGGCTTGATCAGGCAGAAGAAGAAGAGTTGTAACTGACTTCATATTATAAATGAACAGTAAAAAAAGTTCTGTATAATTTGAGTACACTCGAATCGAAAAAAGCCAATATTGGAAACTAATGTGTTTTTTCTATTTTCGAATCTGGCACGTTTTTTATCACCAGGGCAAAGGGTTCCACAACCTAAAGTTTGGCTAGTGACATTACCGTAGCTGTCTAGATAGATTGTTTCCCCCTCTATACAAGGGGTTGTCAAACATTATTGTATTCAATAGCGGATAGTGGCCTTTTGAAAAATAAATGATACCCATGCCTCTATACTATTTATATCACGTATTATATCGGTTACTTATTACACCTAAGGCTACATTAAGGTTGTAATACAGCCCTTTGTACAATGTATTTACTCGAATATTGGAAAATAAATGGTTTGAGAATTGCCCGGTTGTTTTCTTTGAAATATTGATGTACACAGTAGTCCATGAAGATGATGAGCAATGAAAAATGTTTTTAGAAACACTTAAGAAGTTTTAGTAGTTGGTAGGAAACAAAGTATAAAAAAATTAAGTGTCAGCTTAAATCAGTGATGTAGATATGAGCAAGTTGAATACAATTTCCTCGAAAATTCTGACAATAAACTGAGACTTGTGTTTATCATACTCAAAATTTCTTTTCAATATATTTATTTGCCTAGAACTATATTTTTTTAAACTTCAATGCTCTGTATATTAGAAAATATGCATACTATATTCGTCAACTTAAGTCAATAGCATAGATGCAGAATTTTTTCTTGAAGACGAACATAACTAGGTAGTGTGAATTAATATTTTGGGAGAATTATACTATATAAAAGCCAATACCTAAACAATAGCGTTGAATTTGGAGTAATATTTAAATTTTTTTAAATTTAAAATTTTATGATAAAATCAATTATCAAAAAGAGGAGATTCAGTTACAAACTGTTGTATACAATACTTCTGACGTGTATTACTGGTTGCATGAATAGACATTTATGACTAAACTCATTCGTATGTATATTTTCATACATATACATACTACTGTTATAAATTCTTGTGAGATGGTAATTTTCTTACCTGTATTTACTTATTCTACTTCGCTTCTTCTTCTTTGGATCCTATTTCTCTTCTTTATTGTCTGGGCGCCAGCTCACAGGAGTACATAGTTTGTTATTTAATTCAAATTTTGTTTGTTATGTTTATAGAGAAAGTCTTTGATTGAGAAAAAAATAATCCAAATTTGTATTACCGATCACATTTTCAATTTCGAATATACTTTGTTACATTACATTTCTTTAAATTTTATTTGAAATTCATTTCTTACGAAAATTAATTGATCATATACTAAGTTTTCTTTATTTTATCTTTTCTTTCTCAATTTCAACCATCTACTGTACTCCTATTGGTCACACTTATTCAACTTATAATTTATTTCTTTAAAATCAATTTTACCAATTTTATTTTCCCAAATGTGCCTTTCTCTTTGATATGTTAAAATCTTTGCCACAACTCATTCTATTACAATACATTTGAGAAACTGCCGCGCAAAACTAAACAAGTACACCTAAATGCAAAATTGAGATAATATAGCGATTTTACTTCAAATGCAAAATCAGTCGGCAGTGTTTTAATTGCAAAAGATGACAAGTCTCCTTAAACAGGACTATATGAAAACCTATTGTTCGAGCAGAATTGAATAAGTGCCGGAACAGTGTATTAAAAAAAGGCAAATTATATATTTATAAATGTGATAGTACTCATACACAGAGCAAATTATTCATTGTGTTTGTCATTTCTAATATCTTTTTTAAATTCATAATTTTTTGCTGACCTAAGTTTTAATCAAAGTCCATTCTTTCTTATCAGTCCTAATAGTTTGAATATGAATGACTATTGTTTTGTTCATTTTTGGTTATTGTGGTTATCGAGATATTACAAGCTGATTTTCCAAACATAATTTTTTTGGGACAAATGGAATTGCCCTGAGAAGGAATTGTTGTATTTTAAAAAATTGCATGTTTGGACTTGTCAAGTTTCGCACGGAAGCTTTTGCCGTCATTCTCACCATACGATATGAAGTTATTTTTAAGAAAAACAGAAGAATTGTTACAAAAGATAAAAACTTAAATAATTGTCTCCCAGCACAGTAAAAGAACGTGGTCTCTTGGTTTTGGTATTGGGAATTTTTATAATAAGACGGATTTCACATATTATCAATTTGTATATCAACATTTTTATAGTTTAGATAGATTTTCTTGTCCTATCATTGTCTTATTAAAAGTGCGATTTCTTGTCTATAAAACGCTAGTGTTAATATAATAGGTCTTGTCTTTCTCGTTGTGTTGGTGATACAGCTTGACCAAATTCAACTTGTTTGCGAGATGCGCAAATCAAGAAGATACAGAGCCATCATAATATTAACGATTCGTTTACAATTAACAATGGCAAACTGTTACGCTACGCTCGAGTTGTGGTCGCTGATTGGTTGAATTGAATTTCGTGAAAAACTGCACCAATCACAGCCGGTGAAACAGAAATTAAAACAAAATTTAATGAAATCTTGATCTTCTTGGATTAATATTTTTTTTTAATTTTACCGAAATGAAGGAAATAAACTGTACTAAACAAAATTACTTGGCTTGTAACCATTTATGAACGCTCTGTATATATCACGTTAGATATTTTTACTCAGTTTTTGGGATTAAGTTCAGTCAAATAAATTCTCAGAGCTCTGCAAGGAACATTGAAAATTTAAATTACAGAGACTGCATCTACTACGAAAAAAAAGTTACTTATGAGCGGAGCACCCCCTATTCCCGAGCAATAAACATGAAACATACGCGGAGCCTTACCATTCCGCATTTCGTTCCTAGAACTCATCTCCATTCCGTAGACAAATAACTGGAATTTAGGGTACAACTCGGGTATGCGGGGGAACGGCCTCCAGACGCCCCCGACCCGACCCCTGGGCTCCTATCTCATTCACAGCCAGCGGCCATGCGAGCGCATTACGGATATTTATGGGCCGCGGGATTATCAAGAAAGGGCGGGCTCCCGCACACATCGATTTTTCACATGTGCTCCGCGCTCAAGTGCACGCCAGCCGCCCGCGATTATTATCGCTTATTATGTCACTACAAGCCGCCGGGACGGCCGACCTATGAATTCTTCGAAGCAGGATGCAGCAGGAAATTGGCATTAGAAATTGGAGATTGAACTCTGCGTTTCAGGCTCATGTTTCCAAATACGGATCCGTTTCTAATTCAAAATATCTCCCGCGGTTCAACCGAAATATCATTAAAAATTTCCGAAATTTTTCCGTGATTTTTGACAGACTGTATTTAGGTGAAAAATGGTCTTATTGGGAATTAAGGAGCTTTATCGGGTACGGAGGTACATCTAAAGTCTAACGAGAGTTTCTGTAGATTCGCTGCACTTGACGGCGTTCGCTCGCTCGCGTTCTATCATTCTGTTTGCTTGGACACCTGCAAATTTCAAATAATACGCTACGTCGAGACAGCGGCATTGCATACAGTCTGTCAAAAATCGCGGAAAAATTTCGGAACTTCTTCTGAACCTTTAATTTTTCGTATTAGTTTATTTGTCTTAAACACAAAATATAGTGCAAATATAAAAAAGGAGACGATCATACTTTTACACAGAATCAAACATATTGCAAGGTTGGCAATAGGGACTTTGCCTAAAATTGTACAGTTGTATTTTATCAATATCTTCGATAAGGGCTTCGATCGATTTCACAAGATAATACTAAAAGCGCCATCTATTGCTTGCAACATGAACTACAACACGCCATCTGTTGTCCAAATCATCTTACATCGTCTTTTGGTTCCAAAAACCCCTAGCCGGCGGGGCCCAGCCAGGACAACAGGAGGTCCCACAAAGCGCCTACACCGGCCGCATTTGCGGTCGGGGTAGACGACGGATGGGGCCCACCTACGAAGGCTGTCCAGGCCTACACGAGATGAGGCAGGATAAAGAGGGATAACCCCCCTTGAACCCAAATCATTGAGGCCAATTTCTAGCCATGGAATAATGGCGCGGTTCCAAAACGTATTAACTCAGATATGGTCCAAAAAATAACTGCTTTAGCTATCTTGCGATTATTGGAAGATCAATTCTTGAAAGAGAGTATATTTTAATTTAATATTTAAAGACCATTTACTATACTAACGTTTATCATATAGGGAAATTACAACAATGGGAAATATCGGAACGCAAGCCATTTATAATTAACTAGACATATCACTCATTAGACGCCAATTAATTTTATGATATATACACATCATTAACTTAATTTCTAGGTTTATATAACGTGAACAGTGGCCTATCTGTGGGAATTCAATTGTTTCATTAAGTAAAACAACTGCTTAGTAGATAGATATATAATTTCTTATGTTTCTGTCACAACAACGCTATTGTTAGCTATAGTAGCCAATTGTTTTGTTTACTTTCTTGTTTTCAGTGGTAGTAGTTATTCTGTTGTTCTTTTTTGTTTAGGATGACATGATTTCAAGAGCAATTACTATCTATGTTATTTTTTGTAACAAAACGAAAGTACATATTCTTTCTTATTATTTAATTTGAAAGTGGGTATCAATAAAAAAATAAAGCAGTTTTGTGAGATGAAATATAACGTTTATTGCAAAATATACCTAACGGTTATATTATAAATAGATCTACTATCGATACAAACCTGAAAAAAGATCCTACGGGGTGTCTCTCGAAAATGTCAAAAATATATGAAGGGAGAAATGTCATTTTATGCAAAATGTTTCTTACGAACATCGGTCCAAAAACACGAAAAAAAATGAAAAATTTTCAAATAAAGTATGTTTTTTGAAATCTTTTTTTATTTATAAAGTATGGTAAACTTTCAATACAAGAAATAAAAAATTCAGAATCACATAATGAAATATTTATATTTTGCATGTCGATTAGTTGATGTCGTCGAACGGTGTGCTGAGGTTCTGGCTCCACAATCTTCTCTTCAACAGCTTTTTTCCTGCTTTTGCTATTTACTTTTCTAATTTTCAAGCAATCATACTTACTTTTGTTCACAAATTTTCCTTTCTACCGACTCTGTTCTCTATCCTACATATAATAGGTTAAAGCAATCAGCTGAACAAGCGATCACATAGCATCCTGTATACCTATATATATGACAAGGACTGGCATCATAGAAATAATAAAGTCAGCATACCAGTGCACTGTTGCCAAGTTTCTGTTGCAACTTTTGGCATTTATTTATGCATTTTTTTTATTTAAAAATTTTTGCTTTTGGCAGTTGATTGTTAATAATAGAGTATATGTTTTTTAAAAGACATATTTTTTATTATTAATTGCAATAATCTTGTTTTTTTCTTATTCACAGTGGAGGAGATGCAGGAGGTAAAAAAGGATATTCTTCTTCGATATTCATGTGGTACATTCTTTAAAATCGAATGTCAAGTCTACTGCGACTTTTCGAATTTCCGAGCAAGTTTCGACCCACCCCTATACACCATCCACCCATACTTTCTCGGCTGTTTTCGCCCGTCTTCCAAAACAAGCGACTGTCTGCCTAAATCGATAAACTGCAGTCAAACGCCACGAATCCAATCTAGAACGTACTTTCACCATTAAAACCCACCAATTTTTATACGGCGAACCAACCACGAAAAAGTCTCCCCATCATCCTCGTAGGGGGAGGCAGTATGGGCCCAAACAATTGCTCATATTTCGTCGCCGTCTCGAATCCAAAGCCACTGCGATTTGTCCGATGAATAATGTAACTGACAATTGAATATGCAAGTTGGTTTGTTGTTGTGCCATTGACTGAGTTTTGTATACTAGTGGTGAGTTGTTCTAGTTATAAGGCTAGCTATATCGCGCAAGATAAGGCTTATCGCCGTTCGGGTACGTCAATTATGTTTTTTTTTCGCCGGTTTGGAATGTGTTAGTAAGCAAAGTGCGGTTCCTTAATTTGGTGGAGTAGTTTGAAATGTGCTTGTATTATGTACGTATGTATAATTGTTTCCAGTTCAATGTACAGAGTGTGCATGTTGTTCTAATACATTTTTCAACAATTTACAATCGATATAGCAAACAGGATAAAGAGATAATTTATTGATTATTAAAACAGTTTAAAAATTCATACTTTGAGTAGAATGTACTTAGTTTCAGAAGTACTCAGTATAAAAAAGAGGTTTTTTGTCAATCAGAATTTTGATATTATTGACATAATCAGGGCAATTTTTCTATTAAAATTTTCATACTTTATTACATTTCTTTTTAAGTAAAACTTCTATTTGTTTCTTAAATTAAATCATACTGTATAGTAATCAAAGTATCTAATAGTTTTCTTTTAATGTCCACGCAAAAGATAACCTTTTTAATTTATGTGACAACAAAAACGGAATAAATGATTTAAAAAATTGATGGTATCGAAAAAAAAAAACAATTCTTGACAAGAAATGTCGGACATCTATTATTAAAATACATTAACAAATTTACCATATATACAGAGTGTGTAATTGTTATAATTAATTCAATAATTTTATTAAATATGTGAAAAAACAAACTATTATAAATTATTAATATCATAAAAATTATATTAAATGTTTGTTTCTTCACATATTTAATACATTTATTGCATCAATTACAACAATTAAGCTGCCATTACAAAATGTCAACTTGATAGCCGCCTACTATATTCGATAATATTTCTGCCTTATGCCAATCATGCCGTGTAATTGATTTTAAATAATTTTTTTGCCCAGAAATCGTTAATTTTACGAAAAAATTTCAAGGGACCTTTTTTGTTTAGAACGAATCAGGTTATCTGAAATTAATTTTTAAATTGTAAGATATTAATAATAAAAGTATGAAACAAGTCTTAAGGGTGGCTTTTTCTACCCCTTACAACCGTAGGGGAAATCAACAAATTGTTTACTGAGTGCGATAGCAAAAAATGTCTGCTTAATTTTATTTCTATCACTTTTTCAGAAAAAAATTAAAAACCACTTTGTTTGGCACCCTTTTTAAGTGGCTGTATCTTCACAGGGAAATGAGTTTTTTTATATGAAAGACCCACCTTATTTTTTAACAGAGAATTACCCTGTATATTTTTTCTAGCACTGCTAATGATATTTTTATTATGCAGTGTGTCCAAGATACGGATAGGATAGCATTAGGATCTAGGAAATTGTAAGAGATACGGGGTGGCTCAAATTAGAAAAAAGTTGTGTTTTTATACCTAACAATATGCCGTTTAGAAAGTTTCAAAATTCCGTGTAGTTCCGGAGATATCCGGAAAAAACCGAAATTTTGCCAAATCGTTTTATTTTTTTTTCTGGCTTTATTTGAAACCGAATTTTAAAATAAATTGCATATTTAAAATGCCACTTTTTTCGCTCTATACAACGGCGTCAACATTTTTGCAAGCCGACGTTTCGTCTTCGAGGGGCCGTCAACAGGTTAATTTTTTTAAATACTGCTGTTTTTATGACAAAATTTAGTCATTTTTAATTCTCAATTAGATGATATTACTATTGTAATCGCTTAAAAAGGTTTCTTGCTCCAATGGATATTTTGAAAGCGTTCAGAGTCGTACTCAGGAAAAATTTTAAACGATAGCTAAAACAAGATAAAAAACTTTTATACCATTTCCTAGATCCTAATTACTAACAACTAATATTACATTTTTGTTAAATATACTAATTTTACGTATTTGCAATACAAGTATTAAGACTTAAAAAAATTCCTGTAACTTTAATCATTCTTCCACTCTTCTTCATATCTCGAATTGTTAGACATAGACATAACGGGGATGGCAACTTGCTAGTGATCGCCCTGTATAAAAATCTCTTGATACTGCTACTACAGTATGTGAATAAATTTAAATGACATTTCGAATTTAGTATTGTAGTCGGTCATTTAAAGAAATATTTACATATTCATTACTTTTAACTACAAAATGCAAACACTATCGTGAGTTGACATCGACATATTTTTCGTAACAGCTAGAGACAAAACTATATAATATTGACAGTAGAAAGTCCCTTTAAAGCTTTAGCAAATAAAACTGTCCCACAATTACATACTCGACAAACAGTATTATACACATATCATTACCTTCTCATGTTGCTTGTGTTCAGCACTAATAACTGTCATATGAATACAGAATACAGAAACACGCAGGGAAAGTTATAGGTCAATTAATATGGCCTTACCAATTTCATATTGTGAAATATAGAAAGTAAAAAAAAACTTGTTTTATTTAATATAGGAGTCAAAATACTTTTCATGTTTTATTCTAAGGTATTAAAATTATACGGATTTAATTTAATAAACAGTCGATTGCTTTTGTTTTGAAATACTGTTACATCCATATACAGGGCTGCCCAAAAATATTCCATAAAAACAATTATTGATTTAAATATTTAAATAAATGAATGTTTATATTAAGGCCTAAAATGCTCCAAAGAATAACCCCTTAAACTCACGACACGCACATAGAAAACGCCCTGTATAAACGAATATTGTGCGTTTCGCAAATCCACTAATCAAGGTTAGTGTGACTGTGTAGAATGCAATGTGCATTACCAGCTTATTGAGCAACGCAAGTCGCTTGCATGCTGAATAGGTGAAGGGTATCTCGGTAGCATATCCCTTTTTTTCCTCCGTGCCCACCACTGTTGTGCAAGCAACACTGTACGGGCGAAAATTCGAAACTGTAGAGAATTTTCAACACTGTTATTAACTAAATGCGAACAGGATGCTTTTCGTGTAATTAATATTTTTAATCGCGTTTCACAATATTAATTTAGTCACGAGTTAAAACTTAGTCGGTGATGAATGCATTTATACGGAGTGATCGTAAAAATGCTGCCGCACTAGAGAATGTCTGTTTGCGATCACTTTTTAGCTCGGAAAGTGCGTCGTTACTGACGGAAAGGAAGAAAGAAAAGGAGGGAAGGGCTTGGTAAAGTAACTGTCTGTGGGAGATAAGAATGATATGCTGATAATATACACTCCTAAAACAAAAACAAATACACAGAGAACACTTGCCGTTGGCGACAAACTTAAACACGTGACGTTAAGTTGAAAATTTCAAACGCGATTAAAAAATCTCGTGCGTGACCGAGGGCGGTATTAACGCGCATGCGCGGGGCCGGCGCTCCTTCTACCGCATGCAGGCCGTTCATTAACGTTAACTTTTACAGCTGGTAACGTGAACTATCAATGCAAAACTTTCTGAAAATAAAAGTTTAACCCTTTCTTTAATTGTCTCTAAAATTCCAGTCCGATACATCTAATAATTAATTAACAATTGCCGTTATAAAAAAATAGCTATTTTGGGAACAAAGAGGCGTAGGGAATTTCTCTTTTTCAAAAAATTACTGTAAAAATAAGCTGTCTTTAATGCAAAAAGAGCGAATTTCCGAGCGGCTTTTTGTTTCGGAAAGCTGAATTTATAGATGCTAAATATTATGTAACATATGTATTGTAATTAATGTAACATATTAGTTTCACAGTCATACAGGATGGTTAATTGTATAATTTTTACGTAAATTCACGTTTTTCGCTTATAGCTTTTTCCCATTAATTTCCACGAGAAAACAGTAAAGTACTTTTTTTGTCTTCAAAAGACCTACAAAACTAGCCCTCGAGCGTCAAAAAATATTGATTAGATCAAAAGTTATAAACAAAGGGAGTTTATTTATCACTTTTGAATTAAACATTTATAAATTGCGTTATTATTACCAGAACGTTTTGACATCGCATCCTCTCATTCCTTATCACTGCCTAATAACTCACACGAAATCTGGAATCGGTAAGTTGAATAGTTTACAAGTATATAAACAAATTAATTAATTATTAGTCTGGACGATCCCGAGGATCTTCCACAATCGCACTGATTTTTTCATGGTAGATTTCGTAATAATACATTGAAACCTATCACTTTTTTAATTTCAAATTTTCAACCTGAAAATTTGTTTTATTTTTTAGCATTAGTGGTAAAATTAAATACAGTGTCCTCCTAAAGTCATGCACAAATTCATTATTAGGTAAACAAAAGAAATTATTAAACATTCCCGAAACAGGTCGATTTTTGAATTTAATTTACTATTTTTTCAAATAATAATTTAATATACAGGGTGACCTATGTTCGAGTAATGACGTCATCACAATTTTTTTAAATGGAACACCCCAATTTTTTCCAATTTTCGGATTGCCCTAACTGAGCTGATTCCAAAAATATACCACAAGTTGCTTCTAATTGTTACAGGGAGGACGACGATACCCAAATTATTTACAAATACTAAATTTATTTACAAATAAATAAACGTACTAAAAATTGAATCAAATCATCAGAAACACCTAAATTAAATGTTCAAATTGTTGACCATTTACTGCCAAACAATGGGCCAGACGGGAAGTAAATTCTTGCTGTACATTCCCAATGACTTTAGGCGGAATCGCTCGAACTTCTTGCCGAATTCGTTCCTTCAGATCGTTAATACTGTTTGGTTTATTGACGTATATTTTGCTTTTTACATAATCCCAAAGAAAAAAGTCGAGCGGTGTTAAATCTGGTGATCTGGCGGGCCATTCCGTATTGTTGTCCTCCCTGTAACAATTAGAAGCAACTTGTGGTATATTTTTGGAATCAGCTCAGTTAGGGCAATCCGAAAATTGGAAAAGAAGTGGGGTGTTCCATTTAAATAAAACTTTTAGTAGTTAAACAATTATTTGCAGAAAAACGAACGAAATTTATTAACAAATGCCTGGAGCAACAATTTCACGATCAATCGAATCGGCCTATGCCACACATGTTGGTCTTTGAATTGACCGTCTTTTCCATAAATTTCATCAACATCCATCGCTTTTTGCAATAATAATGCGCAATTTTCGAAAACTGATTTTTCCGCGGTCAACCTTTATTTTACAGTTAACAAATTGGTGAAATATAACTTTAGATAATAAAATATACATTTTGAAATAAAATACCAAATAACATATCTTTGGTACAAACTTATGACTCGTGAATGTTGTGGTTCTATTGTAAAATTATGGAAACAGCACAAGAACTATACTATCAAATTCTGATTTTGGCAAGTAAATAAATATTCTGGGTACTGGTACTGCGCTTTATCAGGATGGGCAACGAGAAGAATAGTGTAGAAAATATGATATCCATGAATAATCTAGCTAATTGTCAATGTCAGAATTGTCAAATCGCTTTGAACTTTGTCAAGATCATAACTCCTACAAGAAAAATAACGGTATGAACATATCTGATACTATCTTCACCTTGAATTGAATCGTCTTATAGTTATTAAATAAGCTTTCGTTTAAACTGTTTAAATCCGCTCAATTTCCAAACTTACCTTACGAAATGACTTTGATTTTGCCTAGATTAAAAGCAAAATTACCACGGCGTATCAGAATTTACTAATTACTCTCAAATTAATCATTTTCGTGGGCACGCAGTGAAACGTAATACCCATACGATAAATAACTTAGTTTTAGACTAAAATATGTTTTGTCCAACAGTTGCAGTCTCATAGGCGTTTCGGAGGTTGATTTTTAGTGACTAAAATCAAGTTTCAATTACTAGCGACTAAATGTTTTTGACTAATTGGCTAATGACTAATTTAAATAAAGAAAACAACATTAAACAACTAACTATTTATTCGAGTTATACAGTGTGATTCACAAACGATAACCAAAAATGAAACCTATTTTTATCTAGGATACTTCGTTAAAAAGGTACGGGGTGTTCAAATAAAAAAAATATTTTTAATTTTTTTAATAATGTAACCTGAGAGATTATTACTTTATTGTTAACATAAGCTTTTTTCCAGCTGTAATATGGCAGACTGTTGCATCTACACCTTCCTCCTGGCAGCGGTTGGACTCTTGGCCATATTCTTGTTCCTCTTAGAGAACCTCTGGTCTCTCTTGCAAGCCGTTAGGGCCATATTAGCCCCATACTTCATACCCAATGAAGAAACTGCACTAGCGAAAAAATTCGGGCCATGGGCTTGTGAGTGAAAACATTGTTTTAATATTTTTAGTACCAACACATGCAAAATTGATCAGAAAAAGATTTTATCATTTTTACCTGGTTCCAATGATGTATTATTCCGAAGGTCATTCTTATTGTCGAAATCAGACGGCTTTCTTGAGAATGGCTATTTTCTATGTAAACAACGACCAGACAAGCTAACTTGAACTTTCAAGTCATATTAACTTTTATTAACAAATATCAATAAATTGTCCGTTGCAAAATATACCTACGCAAGTTGGAAGAATGTCGCTAACATTTTTCTTGTTTCGACAATATGGGTCAATTAGATTTCTACGAGAAATTAAATATTCTTAATGGTAGCACACTGCTTTATGTCGTAAAAAAAACAGCTGTACATTTTGCAATAACTCTGTTTGTATATGTAGATAAAATTATATACATATATCCATATCCTTTATGAGTATAATTTGTTCTTGTGTTTCCATTTGCCAGATGTGAACCGCACAAATTAAGTGCAGATTAAGATTTAATCTCAATTTGTTGATATTTATGTTTAAAAAAGATGCATACATTTAGATTACATTTAAAATACATATATGACGCAGAGTATAGAGATTTTTTTTGTTAAATTGTCATTGATACGAATGTTAGCAGACGCTATGTATGTAAGCAAAGAATTGATTAAACAACGAAAAGAGATAAAGAGAGATTGGTTGCAAAACGACAAGTCGATGCAGCTCTGTTGGTGCAATAGATGGTAAATGGCCTGCAGCATTCAGACTTCTTTGTTGTGGGTTTTAACGTAATTACTTCACGATCTAACGATATGTTCACTAGCGAATCGATTTTCGTAATGCCGCTTGTAATGCAACAGTTATCTTAAAAAAACAATTATCTTGCATTGAAATAGGTGCTACAATGTTTTGGAAGATGTTAAATATGTCAGTATTGTTAGTTTTCGATATATTAGAATATAACTTTTTTGGGGTTAGTTTAATTCAATTTATCACATGGAATTAACAATGAATTACACAAAAATCATCAAATTTTCTCTAATATCGCCTCCTAAATGTGATATTAGTTCTAGCATTAATCTTTTTGTTTCTTTTTCCGTCTTTATCAATGGTATTTCAGTTACGCTTTCACCATTTACATTTTCTTTAACCACCGCAAATTTTGCCATGCGGAAAAATTATTATTGTCGGAAATTGCAATTTCAAGTACCACGTAAGCTTTCCTTAACGACATACCAAAGTTTTCGCTTAAAAAAATATGTCATTGTTCGTAAAACGAAGCAGCAATACGGAAGCTATTACCAATGCAATAATTACACCTATTATTTTAAGGAAAGTAGGCCACGGATGAAAAAATAATGCTAAGCATTGTTTTAACAAACATTCGTACAGGAAATGCACCTGCAACTGCATAAGTTTTTGCGAAATGACAACACTTTTCTGCAGGTCATACACCTTTAAACCATACATAGTATTTGGATCTTTTGCGAAATGAGGAGCTTAAAATGTTTTGCTTCGTTTCCTTTGTGACATATGATGAATGTTTAACACAAATTCCACTTAATTTCAATTATTCTATAGGTCTTAGCTCTGGATATTTAAGTAACTTGGAATTCTTACAGTATAAACAAGATTTTCATGTAATATCGCACAATTTGGTGTACCTTGGATGTTATTTGAACGTTAATACCATTGTATTTTTTTCACAGTGGTCACTGGATCAACAGACGGCATTGGGAGAGCTTATTCCTTTGAGCTAGCTAAGAGGGGAATCAACATAGTCCTTGTTAGCCGGAATGAGGAAAGATTAAAAAATACCGCTAAAGAAATAGGTAAATATATTTGATTATGTGAAGAAAAAAATATGCTTGATATTTCACCTAATTATTGATTTAAACAAAATTCAGTGACTCATAATTCTACATTTGTTTAGCGATGAATATATGGGTCTACTTATCGCAATCTACTGTTTGTGCTATTACACTATCTTAGGTCAATTACTGACTATCTATTGCAATTTAATTGGCCTTAATTAGAAACGAAGTATTGCTAAGGCTATTGCTATTACTAGCAGATAAACTAAATGCATTTACTGAAAATTATAACGGAACAATATGCATACTTTATGTATTTTTCCATTATAAACATTGACTAATTTACATTGTCGTTTCCAGAGTCAAGGTTTTCTGTGAAAACCAAAATAATTGCGGCAGATTTTTCCTTGGGCAGAAAAGCAGTGGAAGTAGTTAAGGAGGAAATTGGAAAGTTAGAAATAGATATTTTGGGTACGTATCTGATAGGGATTCAGTTGATTTGGTGTTCTAGCTAGTTGACCAAAAATCAAGTAGTTCTTCGGAAACAATGAATTTTTCATGCTTATAGATTACAAATAATGTCAAACATAAGCAGTTTATATTAACAAAAATAAATACTGTATTAAAAAAAATGACGGTTATATTAAAATTATATATATGAATAATTAGTCATGCTTGCCATAATAGTGTCTTAATAAATTAAATTCTGAAAGTATTAGATTAAAAATGAGAAAAAGAAAGGAAAATATATTTAAAATTTGTTGAAAACTTACGAAATAATATTATACAGGGTGTTTATTGAGTATCTGTACAAACTTTAAAGAGTAAACTTTTGACTAATTTTAAGATAAAAAGTTTATATGAACATGGGCAACGACTTGGTTCTTGAAACAGAGCGTCCAAAATAAAATTTCTGGTATTTTGATTATATTTTTGTCCTATAACATGGCAATTTGACGAAATTCGGGAAACTGTTGGTCTTGATGATGGGAAACTTAAATATTCTTAAATATATTTTTTAATATTTTAAATAAAATATAAAAATATACTAAAATATTTTAAATATATATTTTTTTTCATTTTCTTTACTTAGTTTTTAGTTTAACGTTATAACCATAAATTTTTTGTGTCATTTTTGAATAAACATGTCTATTCTCCATTCAATTTTACGTACAAAAGATACTCTTAGTTGTTGTAAAAAACAGATTTATAGTTAAACCTGCGTTGGAATTTTGTAAGTTGAATCATTAAGAGTTTTTAAAAAACAAATGAAAGAATGAGTATTTTATTGATTGTACTGCGATGTGACAAACTTAGATCATTTATTTAAGACTAAATTGCAAGACTAAACTACTTCTACAAATAAGTTAATAACATTTACAATAATTGCTGAAATATATATTTTTTTAACGCTCTGTATCTCAAGAACCAAATCGTTGCAAATGTAGAATCAAAACATACATAGAAAAGGATACCTGCGTAAATAATGTGTTATTATATAGCAATTTTGGACAGCGGAATCTTTAAAATATTTTTCAGTTTATTTAAACTTATATAAAAAATATTTAAATGAATATCATGACAAATTATTCATTTTCACTGTGAGGGAATTCATTCTTCTTGGTCTAAGTCTACTAGCAGCGATATAAAAGTTTAATTTACATAATATTTCAGCAGAATTTGCATAACGATTTATGACTTTCGCTAAAAAAACATATGTTTCCGATTTCTCTTCTAGTTGATAACTTAGCATTTCCAAATTCGATCCCCATGTTTTCGTATTCATTATAAATGGGATATCTGTGAAATTTTTCTATACATAAGCCAAAAATTGTACTGTTTCGTGATCCCATACTGCTGTGAACCAGAGAAGTACATTTTCTTATAATTAAAAGAGATTGGTTTTAGTGACTGAAGTCAAATTCCAATCACTACTTGTAGTCACTAGAGAAATAAAACAATTATAACTTACATAACAAAAAAAAACAAGTCATATTTTGTTTACATCCTCAGAAACTTCCGTACCTTCTTTCCTTAAAAGGTTTAAGTTGTTCTCAGAGGTGGATACAAGCTTTTTATCATTAAAATAGTTTCATTTTGCCTTCATCCATAGAAAATCAGGAAAGATATGATGTTTCTGAAATGATTAAAAAAAAATAAAATAATGTCGCATCAAACTGAGTACCTAAGTATAAAAAAGAAGGTAACATTAAACAACTACTTGTTAGTATTTACATTAAAATTAGAAGTTGCTTTGTGAAATTGGATTCCACTGAGGCTTTACAATATTACAATATTTACCAATGACAAAAATCCTATCCATCCATTTCAGGATGTTGATGGTCTGTTAAGTATCAATATTAAATAAGAATTGTCCTAAATTGTCCCAGACAATTTGAAGACGATAAAAAGTAAGATAATTTATTATACGAACTTCCTAAAATGCGAAAAATTATTACTTGCGATATCTTCATAGTCCTCCGGGATATCTTATCCTTATTTTAATAGTTATTTACACCATAAAGGTGAGTATTATTTACCAGTCGAGGACGATTTTGCGCCCGAGCGGAGCGAGGGATGGCAAGAGAGTCTGAGACTGGTCAATTATACTTAACTGCTGCGTGGTGTATAACATTTTATCTGCTACCACAGTTCTTTATGGTTCATGAAATAAAGATTAGGTTTTATTTTTTGACATTTCTTAATCAATTCATTTTGACATTATTCGAAATCTTGCAAAGTCGCCTTGGTTTTTTTTTGTCGTTTCTATGGTGTTTATAAACAAAGCTACATAAAAGTTGTAATTTTGCTGGTTTTGAATTATTTCTAAATGAGTGATTTTTAAATAGAAAGTGCAGCAAATGGTGCCTGCGAATTTTTATTGCCCGAGTAATCGAAAATGCGCTACAGACGAGCATATAGAAATTTCAAAGAATGGTGCCAGAAAAAAATACTGGTGTTCCTGAAATGTCACTGCTAGCATATTTCACGGAGAAGTCAAGAACTTTAAAGTTACTGGCGAGTTTGTGAAGTGAATACTCAATGATTAAGTCAACTATTTTTATAGAGGAGAACGTGGATATATCAAAATACCCCAAGCTGAGCATTTTTAAACGTAAGAATGACGGCTATACATCTAAAAAGTCAAACGTTTTTACAAGAGAACAAGTCAACGATTTTCTTGTTCTGGCACCCGACAACACATATTTGCTAATGAAGATAGTGACGGTCTTAGACATTGCAGGAGCATGCCGTTCTGATGAGTTATGTAAACTTACTTGACTGACAACGTCAGTTTCAAAAATTTCGATGACATTATTGTAGTTACAATTCCAGATTCTAAAAATGATATGTCACGTACGTTTACAATTACTTCTCGTCTGGGTTCTGTTTCTCACCTAGAAATTCCCAAAAAATATATCAAGATTAGATTGGAAATTAAAACTGAAATTTCATGCTTTTTTTATGCGCTATCAAGCAGGTAGATGTTACAACCAACCAGTCGGCAAGAATACCCTTTCTATGATTCCTAATAAGATTGCACAGTTTTTGAAACTAGAACATCCTGAAACATATACAGACTATTCATTCCGAAGAACATCGGCAACGTTACTGGCTAATACAGGAGTTGATGTACTGGCTAACGAGTGACATGGTGGATGGAAATCAGCCACAATTGCAGAAAGTTATATTGCTCACCGTTTAAGTAACAAAAATGAAATAGCCAACAGGATTCTTTACAATCACAGTTCAACTTCAGGTTCTAGTAGTACGTCGCATCATGCTGTTTTAATGGATCAATCAGATAATATTGAGCCTCCAGTGACTGAAATGGAGCGGTCAAATCATTTTGAGAAAAATGTGACAATTAGTAAACGCGAGGGGAATAATTATCCAGATTTTATAAATGTTACTAAATGTAATAACTGTACAATTACTATAAATTCATAATAATCAATAAAATGTAATGTTCATCAAATATTTTTATTTATTTGTTCATAAAATATGCATTTATAACACGAAATCGCTTTTTCTCCTAGGGAGGTAAGTTACCTCACTTACCTCCTTAAAATCAATGTATTAATAGTCGTTTTCAATTAATTTTGCATTTACCACATAATGTTGAAACGCGTGTACAAACGACTTGTCCCAAAATAAAAATATTTCCATCTCTAACACTGTTGGGCAATTTACCGTAAATACCCACTAAATGTCACAAATTTCCTTCAAGAACCAGCTTCACAGTCGATTATGTAAACTATCTGGTATAATTACGCCAGCGAATGAATAGCTGAAGTTCAATGTCCAACTCGAAGGTGTTACAACATAGTTTCAGATTAGAGAAAGTTCTTCGTTTCAAGGCGTTACTTGCACAATTTTACTAATACAACTGTTGTTTTTTTTACGTTTCGTTGTATGCCAGGAACAATATTTTGGATAGGTTTTTTTAGAAATGGGTGAAAGTAAAAGTGAACAAAAAGAGAATGACTGTGTGAGATAATCAATTAGGGGGGAATATAATGTGAAATTTATGTTAAAGAACGTCGTAATTTGGATAGAGCGGAACAAACAATTTGACAGGAATTCGGGTCAAACACGGTTATTAAATCAAAACAAAAATTTACAAGGTGGCTCAAATAAAGCAGATATTTTTTTACAGTTGTCACAAAATTGAATTATATCTTGCTTTGTTTATTTATTATTTTTTTATATCTGAAGTACAACAATGTTTCAGGAGGTGAAACCAAAATGTTCTTTTCTGACTAAACCCCGTATTTAAGCATTTCTTGAGTTCTCGAACAACTTTGTTAAACATAGTTTTTAACGAAAACAAAAATGAAAGGCACTTTGCTTAAGGAAAATTTCACATTTTGAAGTTTTTTGGACGCTCTGTATGTTCTATTACACATTTGATTACTGTCCATGGCTTCCCAAGATAAGCGAAACGTTTTATCAAGAATAACTTTCGAATAACTAGAAAAATCAACAATAAAAAAATTTACAAGCGTGTGATACCCCATCCGCGGACACACTGTATATATCAGGTGTATTCGCAGCAATTTCATATTAAAAAAATTGTTTCTAGTTTATATGGCGGCAAAATATAACTACTTTAATTTTCTCCAACCACTACATTTAATTTTTTTTAGTAAATAACGTAGGCAAGATGTACGAATACCCAACATTCGTGACGGAAGTCCCTGAGCAAGTCATCGAAGACATCATCAACATCAACGTGGGCGCAGCCACTTTGATGTGCCGATCCTTCTTGGAGGGCATGAAGCAGCGAAGACGAGGGGCCATAGTCAACGTTTCGTCCGGGTCAGAACACCAACCGATGCCCTTCATAGCGATCTACGCAGCAACAAAGGTACATAGCAAGCTTCTGTCATAGTCCATCCAATGTTCCATACGTTGACTTTCGCAGGCCTACATAAAAAGCTTCTCAGCTGCCTTGAGGTACGAATACCAGCCGTATGGCATCACGGTCCAGCATCTGATGCCCATGTATGTCGACACCAAAATGAACGCTTACAGCGAAAAGATGGCCAAGGATAAAATCTTCGTTGTCAGCCCCGAGCAGTACGCTAAGTACGCGGTGGCCACTTTGGGGAAAATGGACGAGTCTTCGGGTCATTGGGCACATGGTATTCAGGTCAGTCCGCTTAACATTTAATTGGAATAATCATTCGTATATTTGAAGGATTCTTCAGCTGAGATATGTATTGTGTAATACGTCATTATTCATAGAGTGACCTTCCTTAATCTCTGTATATGATTTCATCACCAGCTTGCGTGAGGAACTGGCAAAGTCATTATCAGTTTATTTAAAATTAGAACCAAGTTTTTTCTTTTCGCTTTGATGTCACTTTAGTCCGAGGTTTGGTGTTTCATACGTACTGAACGCTGATCCTGCATATGATGGTTTGACAAGTTATCGTTGTATTTGAATATAATTATATAAAAGTTGTAGTATAACAACCCCGGGTTCGATCAAAAAAATATATAAACGTAATTGTGGCCTACGTTGTATACATCTATTTTTAATTGACCGGAAGACACTGGCTACTAACTTTAAAGAGGAGAAGTATGGTTTAATTTTATAAAACAAAAGCAGAGTAAATACACCTAACTTTATTATTTACGTACAACGGTCTTCAAATTAAACGTGACAAATAGAAAAAACAACAAAAACATTGACAACCATTTAACATAAAATAATAGTGCCAGGCTCACCTAGAGCTCCTGTGGGGAAATAGCATGGTAGAGAAACTCACGATCGTTGCTCTAATTACCCAAATATAAATACAAAGCAACCGCTAACAAAAGGCATAAATTAAGATCCTTTGCTACTGATAAATAACATCCGACTCATTTAATGTCTCACTAAATATCACCTCATTCGAATTAGACATACACACTTCCAAGTAAAACTGAAGAGGTTTGGTGTTAGTTAGCCGGCAGGGCCGGAATGTACTGGAGACCCATTCAAGGAGGGAGGCAATCCGGCTATGAGTTGAGATTTCGGAAGATCTGTTTAGCAATTCTTTTTTTGTATTTAATTATTCTTTTTTTTTCAGATTCATACCTCACGGGCGAAAATGTTAGTAAATTCAACAAGGCTCTTATATGCGTATGACATAAAGTAATCATAAGAAATGCTTTATTACTTGTTTTTCGAACAACGTAATCATGACAAAACAAGTTAAATGTGAAACAAAGGAGTTGTTATTGCAATATCCGGGCAGTCACGACCATATATACATATTTTAACATGTAATAAATAATGAGCAATCTTTAATAATAATTGTAACAATTTTACGTTAGAAAAATATACGCCCCTGAGCATAAGACAATGAAGGCTAAACATTCACAAAATTATTATCATGAAACATCTATTACCATCACAATCATAAGATTACATAGAACAATTAACAACAAAGTACTTAGAGAATAATTACCTGTTAACTAATACCGGTTAAACACTTCTAATTTTTCACTACTTTGCCACACTGCCCGCCGATCGTCTTACTCTTATATCCACACTGTTCTCACTTCAACTATCTAGGCTTCCTTCCAGAATTCCCCACCTAAGCGTTTGTTTAAGGTCTGCAATCTTTACAACTATGTAGAAAATTTAAAAAGCATTCTTGAATCAGGGTATATAACTGTAGACTTGTTATAAGAACTTGTAACTTAATTAAGCTCTTTGGGATATCTTTGTATGCAGCAATTTGTCCCTTAGAGACCACTACATACGTCCGTATCAACATGGATTCATAGAGAAAAGATCATCTGCTCCAAATCTTGGTTTTAGGGGAGCCTTACTGAAATTATCTCAGGCTTATTTGCAAGACAATCAGCAGTATGTTGCTTACAATGACCACCAATGTGGCTGCTGACTTTTCAGCTACATCTGGAGTTCCCTAGGAGTCAAACCTGAGGCCATTGTTTATAAATGACCTATCTTTTATTATAGAATGTGAACATATATTTGTTGAGGACCGTAAGTCATTGAAAATTGACTCTATACATGATTGTCTTTTAATCCAACAAAAATGCAGGTATGGTGTAACGCAAATAACTTGAGCATGCACATTTCTAAGTGTAAGTCTAAGACCTTGAAATTTATTTCGACACGGAATCGTCATTTTCGACTCGTACTGAATATGTGACAAGGTCAGCCTTCAAAATGTCGGATTCATCTTGAGAAACTGTTCTAGATTTGATAATGAGCTTGCTCTTAAAGCTTTTTTTTGTTTTCTCCGAATCATAATTGAGGTTTTAATGATATTGATCTACTTAACACACTCTACAATTCATTTGTAGAAATTAGGCTTGAATATGGGTGATTAATTTGGAATCCAGGTTGGTTATACTAAATCTTTCAATAGCATTGAAAATATACAGCGTCGTTATCTAAAATTTTTAACCTTAAGTTGACCTACCTATAGGCATTCCTCAAAATCAATTGTTGGATAGATTTTCATGCATGTCAAAATTATACTGATATTCAAGGGCAGCTTGATATATTTGATGCTTATTACTGATATAAAAATACTAAAACCTGATAATTGAAATTGTTAATTTATATTGATTATTCATTCAAAGAAGTATCTTGTATCCTTGCTGTTCTATCATCACCTTTGGCATAGATTAATCAGGTAAACAAACAGCTACTTCAAAGAGATCTTTCTTTTCCACATTTCACTTAGGTTTGTTTCAATAGACAGCTTTCTTACGACTGGAACTAATTTTGGGCAATTAAAGAAAATGAATTTCAATTTTATCAAATGACTTTTTTCTCCACTGTTATGCATTAACGCAGCTGTTAGAATTGCAGCACAAATAATAGCAAACGTTTAAACCAGAACTGATACAATTAATTGCTATTGTTAACACTTTCTTGCAGACCTTCCTCTTGAAGTTAGCACCAACGTGGATAAGGATATACATAGCAGGAAACATCAATTTAGCGTTTAGAAAGGAGTATCTTTCAAGGATTAAACCGGGAAGCAAGTCCTGTGAAGAAGCTGCCAAGATACAGTAATCCTTAGGTAAATTAAATTAGGACAGTTTTTTGTAAATTTTTCTAGCCTCTTTTTTAAAAATAAAGTAGTGTTGTGTTTTATACCGCATTTTTAATTAACATTTATTACATTAGGAACCTTCTCCTCACCCACCAAAAAAAAAATCCACTTTATTAATGATATCACTAAACAACTAAATGCCAATAATGGTGTATGTTAAACAAATTAGCACTAAATGTTGACAAATGCAATAGATGTCTTGCACTAAGAAATCTTATCAAAATATTATTTGATTATAAACTCAGTAGCATGATATTAACTGGATATGACTTTATTATGAAATTTGGAGAAATATTTGACAAGGAGTTATCTCCCAATGACCATACTCTTAGCTTTTAAGGCAACTTGTAAGAGTGATGTTAGTAATTCTAAAAATTTGCTGAATATAAATATACTTTCAAATTGTTATATTCAACGACTGCTGCTGTGCTTAAGTTTTACATATTTCAAGTACTTATCTACAGTGTATTTGTATCTTGTAACAATGTTATACTCGTAAATTTAAATAGAAAAATAACAATTCCGCTGTGTATGCAACACAGTACACGGTAAGTTGTATATTGAGTTGCATATAGTTAATTGTTAACTAGCACTAGAACTACAAATAACGATTTAAATTTCGTCAAGTTACGAACACATGCTAATAATTTCAATAAACACACTATAAAATTAAAGACTGTTAATAATATTATTAATGAATATTTTTACAAATTTTTTAAATGGCAATGGAAACCTAAAGGAGGTTGAGGATTAGTTATACTTCAATAAAATCAAATTGCATGTTTTAAATTATTTTTTATTATTCAAATTCAATTGAAATATACATTTTCATCACAGTTAAAAAAAATTTTTATTTCTATTTCACCATTTTCCAAATATGTTATTGTTATATGTGTCGTTAACCATAACCAGTAAGCCAACCAACAAGCGTTTTTAGAAATTACAAGTTCCTCAAAATTAAAAATTTACCATCATATTAGCAAATTTTTTATTTGCTCTACATCTTTGTCTATCTAAATAAAATAAAAATAATAAATATGTATCTAAATATTAATACAAAATACATATCCGACAAATTAAGCCACAGTCTTTAGTTATTTATTTATAGGGTACTTTTATTTCCTTATCCTAACTTAGTTAATACAATGAGACGTTGTAATTTAAAGAATTTTGTTGCATATGCAACACACTATACAGTAAGATGTATAATGTGTTGGATATGGTAAAAACAATAAATTAAAACTGCAACTGAATCTTTGCAGTACTACAGTACAAAATACAAATTATTAAAAGTGTTCATGAAACTTACTAACAAATACCAATAATTTCAATAAAAATCATTAAAATTTAAGATAATTAACATTTTTTTTAACAAATATTTTTACTTTTTAAAGTGAAAACCTAAAGGAGGTTGAGATTCGTTCTATTTTAATAAAATCTAAAAATTTCTAAATTATTTTTTACTACTACAAGCAATTTAAATTTACATTTTCGTCATGCAGTTTCAATTTTCCAAATATAGTTTTGCTGTCTTTAACCAGGAGGAAAAAAACAAATAAACGTTTTTTTTTTCTAAGCATAATACGATAATTGTTAACTATCTAACAACATTATCGTGTTCTATTTCCACATAACATTCATACATAAAAAATCAGAACAGTAAGAAATGAAATATGTAACACAGTAACTGAAATAAACTGTAATATGCCGGACATTGTAACGTTGCATATACAATATTTTGAAAATTAGCAGGTACGTTATAGAATTTTCCCAAAAACTAAAAAACTGAAAAAGTTTTCCTCGTTCCAAATCTATCCGTGGATACAATGTATATTATTAATAGTTTCTGGACAATTTTAAAAATTCTGAAAATATTTTTGCACACGTTTTGTTTAAATACTTTTTTTGTACAGAAAAGTGACATAAACCATATGCTAAATTTTTACTTTATAAGGTACTTGAGGTATATAAGGCCCACTTAACTTAAATATGCAATAAATAGTATATTTTGTTGTTGTTTTCTACAAAGTTTATTAGTTCGAGTTATCACAAAAGTTAGACAAATAGTACAAGACAATCCTTTTAAAACATTTGACTTTTAAAAAACTCTCTCTCTCTGGGCCTTATTAAACCAACAACGTGGTATAATAAGGCCCTCTTGTGAACTTGCAGTTTTTCGTAACTTATCTTCACAATGGCTCCTTAAAAACATTCTTAAATTAGAAAAAAAGAAATGTGAAACTTTTATTACACATTTCCCTTAATAATCAACATGGGCCTTTTAAACCCTGGAAAGGCTGGTCAAAAAGTTTAGTTAAGTACTTTCTCAAGACTATTAAATCAAACTTCTCTCAAAAAAATTAAAACTTCTCTTTTGATAACAAAAGAAATAAATGGGACTATTTTTTCTTTAATAAACAAAAATAAAGCCTATTTTGTTTTTTTTAATAAAAACAATAAATGAGACTTCTCTGTCTACGACTACAACTAAATTAGACTTCTCTTAACTAAACTAATCGCATAGCATTAAATTTAGTAATTTTGATCAAAATTTCTTTCAAGGTCAAACCCAAGGTCACCAAATGGTGACTCCCGATGACGCAAACTATTTTTATAGAGGTAATGTTCTCACTGTCCTCATGAAATACCAACCTTTGAAGTTCAAGAAGGGTATTTAACCTTGAAAAGAGGATGATATAAAAAAATCCTACCACATTTCCAAACACAAAATGTATCGTTCTTTGATAATTCAGGGTCGGAAATTGTACTACCGAAAAAAAAACAAGGAATGGCGTTTAAATAACCTTGGACTTGACCTTCAAAAATAAATCAATCATAAATCCTATCGCAAAATTACTCGATCTTTCATAATCAGAGAGCAAAGGTTAACCCTTAAAAAACAAAAGATAACCTACGAATAACCTTAAACAAGAGCTAGAGTAGTTTCAAAATCTCATGAGCCGCGAAATGCGCGAAAGGCGTGGCGTATCCACATAATTCTTCTAATAAGCGCGTTGTGAAAACATTGACTCAGAATTAGACCACGTGCCTCATTACAACCAGAAATGAACTAAGGCGTCGGGCATCAATAAAGTCAACTGGCGAACGTTCGTTATATATATTTTTATTGCTTAAATTAAAATAATAAAGAATAGAGCATTTTATTATGATATTTGTAATCGGAGCAAAGGCTTGTTTACTCTACGAGAGCTCGGGATAGACTGTGAATAATGGATGTAATGTTTTTAGGACGTAGAATAATTTAGGTGACGGCCGGAATTATGTTTCTGCGCATATCAAGGTCAAAGCTCATATGATTTTGAAACAACTCTAAAATTATGTATAGTACCTTATATGAAATTAGTATAGAATTTACGTAGAATTAAAAGGTGCAAAAATATACAGTGTTCCATTTGAAATAACAGAATTGATGATGACTTCCGGTATAATCGGAAGCGCGAGAAAGTTGACACTATTTTCATTGAATAGATCTTTTTAATAAACCCATGTATACAAATTTTCAGATTGCAAATTTTACTACTTTTTGAGATACTTCTACTGGGCCCTCTTCGTGAAACACCCTGTACATTTTTCGCATTTTTGGCCAAAAACTACCAATATCTCAATGAAAATGCATTTTTTTTCGAAAAAAAGTTTCAAAGAAAATTTGTTCAAAATTAAATTTGCTACAGAATTGCTTCTATGAAAAATAAATTATATCAATATAATTTTTTTTATTTCTTTATAATTAAAGAATAACCTTTTTCATTTATTGTTTTTAACAATTTTTTATGGACTTCTACACCTAGGTTTCTTATGTAAAACTGCTTCATCGCTGTCGCAAAAAAAAATTAAAAAAAAACGGATTTTTCTGGAAAATATTAAAAAACGCGTGATTAATTCGTAACTTACGTTTCAATCCTCGGAAAACTGTATAAAATTTTCCAAGAATTTTTCACAATTTTCTTTCCTCTAATTCACTTTTCTTATTTAAAATTTAATTGACCATTATTTTAGTTACCTACAAAACATTAATTTTCACATAATCTGTTTAAAAAAATATACTGGAAAACTATTAAGAAAATCGTGTGACATATGTTTTCTGACCTCAAAACTTACACTTTTCTATAAAAAAAATCTCAGAGTAAAAAAAATCGCTTAATACGTCTTTTTATGTTCAACTTTCCTGAACAAAAACTTCGTTTCTATCGTGTGTAGACAGCTGCCTAAGTCCAGGCGTTCGCGTATCTCACATGAATCCGGCCGACCAAATGCTGTATCCTGGAGGTCTTCTACACACCTTCTCAAGACATTCACCCACCTGTACGCTTGCGCAGCTGAAGAACCGCCGGATCAAACTTCTCCACTTCTTCAGGTGTCAGTTCTTGACCGATAGTGGCCTGGTCGCAAGTTGGCTGTGATACTGACTTTGACAACTGAACGCGATGTCTGACCAGATGTACGTCAAGTAGTCGCCCGCGAAAATGAGACATAAAGGAGAGTGATAGTGGGACTCTTTCAATTTTTTTTCTTTAGTGTGATAGTGTCCAATAGTCGTAGGGGAGAAATTTTCGACTTTCTAGTAAGTACCTGCCGCTTCTAATTGTTATGCGACGAACGAATTTCAATACAGTTACAAAATTTCTTGCGCCAGTATTGAAAGAGGGAATGAGCGCGAATCTTTTGAAAGTGTGGGAGGGTTTGACACACATATGATTTTTAAAGATGTAAACAAATTACGTTTTGGTCAAAAACCGCTCGTCGTTATAAGCTTTTTTATCGTGGATGCAAATGTCATTCGAATTGCACAGCAAAAATTTGATATTCACTCAGACTGCCGTTTCCTTGTAACGAAATAATAAAAATTACCAAGTCTAATGCGGTTCCCATAAGACGCCAGCATTGAAATCTCCATATTCCATTCCTCTGCTGAATTATCGTGGTTTTTTTGCGGTTATCGCACACACTATCTTGATTTAAGCGTCAGTGTTCTTCAATTGGATTCAGAAAAATTAGGTACGTCGAAGATTAGGTACAATAAAGAGTTATACCATAAATTGAGGCTTTTGCATCTATCACAAAACTTTTAAAAATAGACAGCTTGAGTCATCTAATTTGGTTTCTTTTTTATCGCATTTTAATAAGTATGTTTTGCACTAGAAATTTTAACAAGAAAATGTCGAAATTTACACATTTGTATTGTGTGATCTGATATCACAATAATTTTACAAAGTAACACTTCTGTATCAATCAATTAAAGAATCAAAATAGAAAAGTATAGTCTCGAATGTTTCAGATTTATAACGATACGTTAAAAATAAAGGGACATATAACATAATAAGATTCCCATAAACTTATTTCTGAGTTTGTTGAGAAGACAGATGGTTTAATTATTACTTTGGGGCACTTGATTTTATATTACAAAGTAGGTAACCCCTGCGTTTTGTATCTTGTTATAGTTTCAGTGAAAGAAAAATTTAGACTGTTAGTCTACCATACTTTGTTGCAGTTATTTCTAAAAAACCTCAACATTTAGCCGTAATTTCACAAATAATACTCAAGAGATAGTTATGCATTAATTTTATTTTGACATTTTGAAATGTCTCCTTTTGAATACACACTTTGTTCTTGTACTTATATAATTAGACAACAATAAATGTCAAAAGGAAGAGATTCCTTCGCGTATAACTTGAAAGATTAAGTCCTTTGCTTGTGTCAACCTTCGAATCAGTTTCAGAAATACATTTTCCAAATTTAAAAAATTAGGAAACATAGTTATGCAATTTTATTCATTGGTTTTTAGCACAGTCATGCATTATTCATGGATTAGTAGGACATAATTTCAGATTTATTGCAGATAAAAATAAAAAAATACAGTTAATCAGTGTAAAGACAAAGATGTCATTATTTCATTGTACAGATAGATAATATTCAGCTTAGATCAATGGTTTCACAAAAATGTTTATTGTTTACTGGTGAAGCCAACTGTATCTTTAACTGTACTCAAGTATACAGGGTGCAACTAAAACGTTTGGTTTAATGGCAGATTCTACGTCACAAATCAATAAAAAAATATTCTTAAAATATTTTTGCAAGGTCTGTAATAGTCTCGCCTCTGTGAAATATAGAATTTCTCACAGAAAATTATAGTTTTTTATCTTTGACTGTAGGAAAAAAGTTTCCTATAAAAGTTGCAAGGGCTTTAAAAAATTTATTTTCAAAAAAATAATTCGGATTATACCAACATATGGATATTCCAATCCACAATCCTTTTCATGTCATTATTATTGAACCTAAATTAAATAGTACCTGTTAAAAAAAACTGATAGCAGTTAAATTCAAAATGTTTTTAAAAAATTGTGTATACAAAATTGCAACAACTTCATTGTTTGTCTTGTATATGCATAGATTTTTTTTAATAAATTTTAAATGTTCAATGATTTTTCTTTGTTATAGTTTAATTTAAATTTGACAATAATAACTTGACAAGAGTGCTGTGGTAGATTAGGATATCCATAGTGTGAACATAAATTAAGAAAGCTTATCTACAAAAAATTAATGAAGCTAACATAAAAATATTTATACAGGGTGATCCATTAGCAGTAAGGATCGGCTGTAAATGGGAAACTAGATGTGCTAGGATTATGGGGTAAAAAATTTATTACCGACCAAAAGAAATTGATTTAAAATATTTTCAAATTTGTAACTTCACCGTTAGGGAGCGCAACTGCTATAGTGTTACAGAAGTTGAAAATACACTTTTTAGATGCACTGCCAAACCCTTCACAAGTTTTGTTTGAACTTTTTTTGTTATTAGCATAGCAACGCCAATATAGAATTTTTAAATTGTTATAACTTCTAAATGCCTTAATCGATTTCAAGACACGACGGCTCATTTTAAAGAACTATTAATAAAATTTATATTTAGGATATGGAAATAAAAATATTATTTTTTTTATTTAAAGTTTTGTAATTGTCTCTATTTACCAAAAAATTAAATACAACGATATAGGTTTTTTCATGACTTGAAAACAAATACACACACCGAGGTATTTTTTTTGTTTATTACATGTTTTAAAAACAGAAAATACGATGTTACTTTAAAAAAACACCAACAACCTTTAACAATCGTAAAGGCGATTACTGTTTCTCTGAAAATGATTGTCTGAAGTCATACAATCAGTGCTGAACACTTTTTTAAAATAAAAATAAAGAAAGTTACTAGGTTGCTTTCAAAAAATAAAATCATTTAAGTTTATTTGACAATTTTTTTCAGACACTTGAATAATACCTAGGATCTTCCTACTTTTCTCAATTAAACTTCTTAGTGCATAGAATCATCATACAAAATTTTATCCAATTCGGTTCGACAGTTTTTACGTAATACCTAATTGTTTAATTTTTTTAAATGAAAAAAATTTCAAAATCAAATTTATAAAAATCTAAAACCTTTGAATACTCGAAAATTTCACCACAGAAAGAAGAGCTCTCAAGCTTTAAAATGATTTTTGAAAAATTCAAATCGGATTAGATGAGCCGTGGTGATTATTTAAACATTTTCGCAATTTTCACGCTTATAAACAATTGCAATAATTGAATGTTTATTTAAATTTTTTTTTATTTTAAAATATGGTTTGAAAGTACTCGGAAAGACGAGTATTTAAAAAAAAATCTGATGATCCGCCCATTATTTTCGGTTATAGCCCGTTAAAGTTAACCCCAAAAATTGACAAATAAACTAGCATTTTTTACAATTTTTTAAATGATTTTTCCGATTTTGCAATAACAATAATTATTTTTTCGAATTTCAACTAACTCTATCTTGATCAAAATTTAATTACAAAACTTTTTTTCCTCTTCCATTTTTGTTTAACATGAATAGTTGCTAAGTTGTCGACGAGAAATCCAAGAAAAAAATTAATTTATTTGCTATTTTTTATACTTTTTTGCAATAACAATTAAGCCCACGTTTTTTTTATTTGCATAAAAATATTATCATTTCTGATGTTATTTAGAAGCCGTTAAAGCAAAAATCTCCGATCATATGCGTTTTACCCAACCCGAAACAGATACCGCCTGGACTATTAATAAAATCTAACATTATTATTTGGAAATATGTCAGTTTTTCTTATTTATAATTTAAAAACAAACACAGGCTGACCATTTATAGTTTTTAATACTAGAAAAGTACCTACTCGGATTGTTTGAAGATTGTTTATATTTTTTTATATGGCACTATTTTCCGACTCTAAAAACCATTTCAAACAAGACCGTATGTCGTTGTCCGTCCGACTGACCTAAAAACTATCGGATCTACCGCTGGCACTATCATTAATATCTCGCTACCAACTAATTTAGTCTTTCTCGGACTACTGGCTCGGTCTTTACATAATTATCAAGCTCATGCAAGCGTAGACCGAGATAAAAACGCGATCTAGTAACCGACAGCATGGTTTTAATCGCAATTTTTTCCAACAGACAAACCCGTTGTTATGCAACTGTAGTCGATATTTTGGATAATGTAATTCCGTTTTTTTTTGCGTGCCGAGAAAGTGGTTATTTTTTTTTAAACACTCGATACGATTATTGTTTCCAATGCATTGTTGGTTTTTTCAACAAATAAATTAATACAGTTGACTTAATACAACGCATATAGGAAGTAACAAAGCGGTTTGATGGAGGAAAATACCGGATATGGATTATTTCCAACAGTGGAGAGTAGTAAAAATAGCGGAAGCAACAAAAAAACGTGTTTCAAAAAGTAACAGCGTATTTAAAATATTTCGTGGATAGACAGGGTGATCCGTAAATGAACCGACGCGACATGGGGCAGATGCGATAGGGTAATTTAAAATAAAAATATTTAAGGGGAAACCTGATACTTTATTTCCAATGATAACCCTATAAATTTGGCAAGTACTCCTTTAATAGACTTTGATAATTATCAATTGTTGACGATAAATTTAAATGTCATGTGACGTAATAGAATTTACTCGTACTTCCCAATAGGACTAAGCTCTGGTGATATTTCTGGCTGGACGCGTTTTATACCTGTATCTGTACGATTTGTACTAATTAGATATTTCCCATAATTCTACATAGCTTCTATTAGGCGAGCGGTTCACCCCTAAAAAGATGCTTCTAAATGAAGGTAACCGACTAAATTTTTAAAACAAATACCTACAAAATGAAACTTTTTTTATTTTATAGTGTATTTTTCTTATAATTTACATATTTTTTTATATTTTTCGGCGTGGTCAGTAAATTGTTATAAACAAAAAAGTTACTCGCCGAATGGCTTTGAAATCAGTTTTCATTTGTAAAATGGACCTGAATAAACACTTTTTGCCCTTTGACAACAATTGTAAAAGTGCTTCGTTTCCGAGATATTTACAATTTAATGTGAAAAAAGTGACGAAATCGACAAACTTTCCGAATTTTTTTCTCAAAAACTACTGAACAGAGTTCAATTATTTTATTGAAGGTCTAAAGCGAGTAAAAAAAGAGTATTTTAAAGAAGATCATGATAAACATATTTTTGTTCATGTAGTGGAAAATGTTCTACGAAAAATTGTAACTGTT